TCCTTGAGCAAGACACCTAACCCTAACTGCTCCCCGGGCGCCTCACATGGCTGCCCGCTGCTCCACTTGGGTGTGGATGGGTTAAATGCAGAGCACAATTTCGTCATTGTGTGGAAACATACACTGATGACAAATAAAGCACCTTTACCTTTATCATGTTTCCTGTTTCTGTTCATTTTCTAAAATATCTAATTTTACAGAAACTCTCAGCAAGTCATGAGTAAAGGAGACATTTCCGTAAAATCCACTTCTTTAGCTGTTAAACACATTTTGTGGACTTGGAGGCAGAACKSTTGAGTTTAGTCTCTCCCGGTGCTGCAGAGAGATTTTTATTTTCTGTTTGGGTCATATTTTTCAGCTCGTTCAGTTTTCTCTGTTTTCTGTGACGTTTTCTGAAATATTACGGTAAATTATCTGTGATGAAACCAAATAAGACCTGTCCTTAACAACGACAACATCCTTGTCTTTATTCTCCTTTAGTTCTGGGGCACACTCTGACATCTTTTAATTAAATTATAAATAAATTTCTCTTACTGATAGAAAACCTGACACCCCTCTCACAAACTGGAGTGGACCGGTCTGAAAGCAGGAGGGGGCGGGGCTTGAAGCATCTTAAAGGAACAGCAACAAAACGAGCTGCTTTGAGACAAACAGCAGAAAAGTGGTGAAAGAGGAGCTGGTGAATTTAAAATAAGGAGCTTTGTAGTTCCACTTTATAAAGACCCAAKTGAAGGATTTAAAAGTATCATATCTACTTTAACAGAAGAGCTACAGCTAATTCAAGATGGCCGCCACAGCTAATCAGCTMAAGAGGCTTTAACTCAGCTTGTTTTACAGACATTTAGCCAATATTTAGTGTATCACTTGTAATTATTGCTCCTGTTACTGCATGTGTTTTAAAAAGTTTGTTATACTTTGAGCATGAAAAATGCTTTTTAAATAACAGCATTTAGAAGGAAAATATTCAGAGAACAGTATAATAAAACAATCAAATTACATGTAATTCAGTCTAAAACAGCTCCAGATTCTAACTAAATCAATTCCAGTTAAAATCCAGCAGACGTGAAGAGAGAATGAGTAAAAATCTCCTCTCCAGAGGACCTGGCTGAAGTTTATTTCTGTTGTTTACTTCTGTTGTTTATTTCTGTTGTTTACCTCGGTTGTTTACTTCTCTAAACTTACAGGAAATGATGGTATTTACGGGTCAAGTTAGAAAAATGCTTTATCCACTTTTAAAAGCTTGCTGTCGTTGATTTGCTCATTTCTGCTGAGAGAGGAGAAGAACAGGTTTCCTCCAGGAATTAGTCTGCCTCAGATGTTTGACACACATTCACTGTTGTGTGTCCTCACAGTGTCCTCACAGTGTCCTCACAGTGTCCTCACAGTGTCCTCATGGTGTAAGTTAGTAAGTAAGTAAGTAAAGTTTTATTTATWTAGCGCCTTTCACAGAAATAAATTCACAAGGTGCTGTACATTCAGGGAAGGGGGGAGGGGYCAGTTAAGAAACACCCATTCAAGAAGACATAACAAGACAAACATGGGGGAACAGGCTAAATCGGTCATGCAGCAAACACAGTTGTGCTACCTTTAACAACAGTAAATCTAAAAACCACATAAGGGAAGATGAGGAAAAAAGCAAAAACATCATATTATATCAACAATGTGACACCCTATGGTGTTTATGAAAAAACCTCTGCATGGGGCAGATTTTTTAGCCAGAGGAGTAAGTGAGTTTAGGGGGCCCCGAAAGGATCCGGTCCCCTAAACCAGCGCAGCCATAGTTCAGAATATTGATGGAACTGTTCATTCTGTCTGCTCAGGAAACCACATCAGACAGGTGAGAGAAGGGGGGGGGGGCAGAGCCTTATCGACGTAATCCAACAAGAAAGAATTTAGTCAACAGATTCAAGGCCGTTGTCGGGGAGATCCAGATTCTGTAATCAGTTGTTTTGGGAACAAAAGAGTCAGGCAGACAATAACAATTTTCCATCTGCTTTAATGTCTGCTGGTACATCTCAAGGTAGTGAATCCAATCAGACAAATGGTGTGGACAAATTCTGCTGAGCCGAATCTATCAGCTTCTCCAAGATCAGTTCAATCTGGCCAGCAAAGTCCAGGGACCACAGCCGGCTTGCGACCCTCAACAGAACCGCTTGCAGACCGAGTCCAGCTCACTCAAGGCCAATGTCCGAGTGCTGATAGAACGGCCATCCATCAAACTGGTCCGGCAGCCAGGAGATGAAAAGCCACCTATGCTGATTTGTAGACCACCAGGAGACCACCCAGCCAATCTGTAGAATCCAGTGATCAGAATCCAGATATACTGTATATCCAGAAAAGAGAAGAACAGAGGTCCCACCTTTGACATGTCCTCCCATGGAAGAAAAAACTTTGTTTCAAAAATATATAACGAGACCAGCTGACCAAATCCATAAAAATAAAAATATCCACAATTTCTGGTTTCAGATGAAAAATGTAGAGAAGCTCCGAGCAGCAAAGCAGGGAAGATAAGGAAGGGCAGGAGAGAAGGGAAAAGTGTCTTACTCCTCCGAGAGCAGAAACAAAAAAGTGTCCTCACAGTGTCCTCAGGGTGTCCTCACGGTGTCCTCACAGTGTCCTCAGGGTGTCCTCACAGTGTCCTCAGGGTGTCCTCACGGTGTCCTCACAGTGTCCTCAGGGTGTCCTCACAGTGTCCTCAGGGTGTCCTCAGGGTGTCCTCAGGGTGTCCTCACAGTGTCCTCACAGTGTCCTCACAGTGTCCTCAGGGTGTCCTCACAGTGTCCTCACAGTGTCCTCAGGGTGTCCTCACAGTGTCCTCAGGGTGTCCTCACAGTGTCCTCACAGTGTCCTCACAGTGTCCTCACAGTGTCCTCAGGGTGTCCTCACAGTGTCCTCACAGTGTCCTCACAGTGTCCTCAGGGTGTCCTCACAGTTGTGGATCCATTCAGATGGGTTCATTCCAACACAGTGTTAAAAGAGCCTGTGTGCTGTTGGAGCTTTGGTTGCAGAAACGAGTCTGGCTGCAGAACAACGTGATGAGCAGGAGTCTGTCTCAGTGAGCAGGAGTCTGTCTCAGTGAGCAGGAGTCTGTCTCAGTGAGCAGGAGTCTGTCTCAGTGAGCAGGAGTCTGTCTCAGTGAGCAGGAGTCTGTCTCAGTGAGCAGGAGTCTGTCTCAGTGAGCAGGAGTCTGTCTCAGTGAGCAGGAGTCTGTCTCAGTGAGCAGGAGTCTGTCTCAGTGAGCAGGAGTCTCTGTCTCAGTGAGCAGGAGTCTCAGTCTCAGTGACAGATTTGAGCCTGGTGCTAATGGGAACAAACACTGAGGCCTAAAGCGCACAAGAAAAACCATCATCTGCACTCATTGTGAACAGAAACCACGGGGGATGAATAGATGAATGAGCYGAGGAGAGAGACATAGAGAAGCACTCACAAAATAAAGGAGGATTTAATAAACGCCACGGAGGCAGTAAATTGGTGAAGGCTGTTATTACAGCTTGTATTCTTCTAGGTTTGATTCCACTGCTCATGGAAGAACAATAAAAACTGTGAGATTATTTATTATCAGGATGTTTCCTCTCGTCTCCGTCCTCCCACGCTCATTTGTTAAAGAAGAAAAATGAAATGAAGAACGCTTATTTTCACGTCTGTCAATGTTTCCTCATGACTGCAGTAAAGACGGCAGAGAATTAAATGTAAAGAACAAATCAGACAATATTTACTGAACTGAGCCGGCTGGTGTTAAAGTCTCATGAACACCGCAGTGAAACCTGGGAACAAGCGCAAGTTTTATCACAACCGTGCTGTTACCTCTGACTTTTTCTACTTGGTTGCATTCATCTGATCAGTAAATATTAATTTAAGCAAACAAACTGAACAAATGATGAAGTTATTATTATTTTTTGTGCACAATTTTGTGTTTGTTTGCTGCCTCTGCCTCCTGTTGTCCTGCTCTCAGTCTGAAACAGCTGCTGAGAGATTTCAGCTCAGACCTTCTGAAGAATCAAACGTTCTGACTCTTGATTTGGTTTTAAAGTTAAATTCAGCGTCAGGTTTGAAAACCTGAGTAAAGAGAGCTCAAACCTACCTGAAGAAGAGCATATTCAGGATTCCTTTCTTCAGAGGAGCCAACCAGGAGCAGCTGAGGCGACGGCTGGATCTGACCTGCAGCAGGAAGCAAAACAGCAATTATTTTATCTGAAAAACTTTCAAACATCACAGGTGGGAGAACGGCTTAAATGTTTGTTGGACAGACAAATACAGTATCAAAGAAAATATTCAAAGGCCTGAAAATTAGAATATATACATTTGGAGTGCAACAAGTGCCTGAATGGAACCATTCATTCCCCACTGTGTATAGATCAATATAGATTTTAAACATTTATTTTATCAACTTGTCTTCTGAAGATGCTCTGTGTTGAAGGATCAGTGGATCTGTGTTCGACTACTCCACCTAGGCTGCACTGTGGAGCACAGATCCACTGAGAAACTTGCTGTTTCAGCAACATTTAATTTAAAAACTGGACTTTTYAGGTTAATCTTAGTCTTAATCTTAGAGGTTAATCTTTAGTCTCACACTTATCAAACTGAGACTAAAGTATCGAACCGAACCGTGACTTTTCTGGATCGTTGCACTCATAATATCTATATATTTTTCTCTTTAAATCAGTAGATTGTGCCACCATCCTAAAGTTGTCGATTCTTCTGCCATAAAGTGCATTTTTAAATCCTTTATGTCTTACTTAATAAAGTAACATTGCAAATGTCTGTCTGTCTAACAGAAAATAAGTGAAATGTGTTCCTAAACATATTTAAAGACATGGATGAAGGCATCATATTGTTTTGTGTAAGTGGGAGGGACATAACAGTTGTGGTGGTCTCATAGCTGCACTTTGTGAGATGACAGGCGTCAGGACAGCAGCTCTTCTCCCTCTGGGGACGTCCAGGACTCAAATGTAGGTCAGAGTCCAGCAGAGGGACGCTGTTGCTTTGAATCATCCACTGAACGACACGTGTCATATAAACTCAACACACATCTAAACACAAAGATCAAACAAAGTGATGATGTCATCAGCTCCAGGACCTGATGATGATTAATTATCTGCTCAGATGTGGAGAGAAACCTGCAGAGGGATTGAGACCCAAAACCTGAAACCAAACGTGTTWCAGGATTCCTCCAGTCCAGATGTGTCCGTCCCATCAGGGTCAGAACAGACCAGGTTCTGGTTCTGACCCCAGCTGGAACAACTCCTGCATTTATTACATGAAGCCTTCAAAACTCATTTCCCTCCCAGTGATGATGTTTGGATATTTTCTGCGCTCATATCTGCTGTGAAGTGCACAAAGTCTGCTGGGTGATAATGAAACAGGATTAGGAGATTAGGAAACAAACACTAAATGTTCTGGATTAGAAGACAGAGGAAGATTGAAGGAAGCGTGACGGAGCCAGATCAGATGTGAAGATCTGATTCTGGAGACAGCAGCAGCCCCTCGCCCTCTGCACCCAGCTGAGCCCCCAGATAGACTGCTGTTAAGTGATGTACAACAACAACAACAGCAACAGCAACAACAACAACAACAGTAACAACAACAACAACAATAACAACAACAGCAACAACAACAACAGCAACAACAACAACAACAGCAGCAACAACAACAACAACAACAACAACAACAACAACAGCAACAACAACAACAACAGCACCAGACTTTAGACATAACAAATGATCCTAACATTGATGTGTGAGGATGACTGATATTTACCAAGATAAACACTGTTCTGTCAACTCACTCTGGTTCTTCAGAAAACCTAGTTTACGGTCTGAGGTGGGATCATTCAACAACTGTGTCCTGAGCTGCTATTTTACAAATCCGATATTTCATAATATTTCTGCTTTTTAAATTATTATTACAACAAAATACACCCGTTCAGGTTGTAAACAGCTTGAAGCGGCTGTGATGACGAGCAGAAATGGGCGTGACGCGATTGTAGGAGGTTTTAAAGAAACTGAAGCCAATTTCAAGGTGTTTAGAAACAAATTTGATGAGAAGTCAAGTTTATTTTTGATTTATACAAATAAATAACATTTTAACAACACCTCAAGCTGACATATTTACTTTATTTTGGTACAGAATAGAACTATATCCCTGAGAAACACAGAATACTGATCCTTTAACATCAGGGAGTCAGAGACATGAACGGCTGAGAGTTCAGCTTTGTTAGCTGTTCAGCCCAACCTTCGGCTACATTCAGCTGCTGATGTTCAGCTACATTCAGCTGCTGATGTTCAGCTACATTCAGCTGCTGATGTTCAGCTACATT